GTAGAGTTTCCCTATAAATATGAAATGTATTCTGCCTTTAACGAAAATGAATTCTATTTCATAAAATATTCTTCGCAGTCAGTCACGGGGAAGATTATTGTATGAAGTCTGAAGCGAGAAGAGAAGGGGCTTGTTGGACGAATGCGAGCAGTATATTTGAACATTTGAGACTGGCAAATATTTTTCATACAAGATTAGTTCGATGTTGAACATTGTAGAATTTAATTAATTTCGAGATCTATTGTCTGTATTGAAAGATTCGAATAAATATTGGACGACTATGGTTACTCGTCGAAGTCACGAAAGCTTCGTTGTCATTCTCGATATAACTGGAATATTTCAATATTTGTAACTAGAAAATGTTTCTTATTAAAATTAATTCAATATTGAACATTGTAGAATGTAATTAATTTCGAGATCTATTATCTGAATTGAAAGATTCGAATAAATATTGGACAACTGTGGTTACTCGTGGAAGCCATGAAAGCTTCGCTGTCATTCTCGATATAACTGGAATATTTCAATATTTGTAACTAGGAAGTGTTTCTTATAAAAATTAATTGAATATCGGACATTGTCGAGTTTAATTAATTTCAAGTTCAATTATCTGGATCGAAGAATTATAAAAAATATGGGACGACTGAATGGAATGCCCGTTTCAATCAAAGAATAATCCAATCCAGGATTTTCATTGTCCTGTCGGTTTTGCAGTGTCATTATGACGGTCGAACAACGACAGCGGTGCGGAATGTTTACAATAATCTGAACAGAGATCTCCGCCGCTATTTATAGAAACGTAACGACGAAGGGACGATGGGAGAAGGAGGAAGGACGTGGATTGTTGGCTGGCTCCATCTTCCATTGTTCCGGCCGTGGAACGCGCTGAGATCGCGCGTTTCTTACATTGCAGCCGCGGAGCTTTTATAACGGTTGCACCCAGCGTGGTAAAGAAAGGCCGACGATAAAAGGGCCGTTAAGCCTTCGGGGGGTGGAGAAACAATGGGGAGGAAGATTGAGGGGGAACAACGGGAATGGTTCGAAACGGGTTCGGCTCGTTTGCTGGTCCATCTACGAAAAAAAGACTTGTTGCTGTCTGAGATACAGGACATAATTGTTAAGGTGGTCACTGAAGATTGAATCTTCACCGTGAAGAGGAATTTCAGTTAAATTTTAAATTTAGTTAAATAAGAATGTTGATAATGTTGGGAGATTAAATATTAACTATCATGTGAGGTGTTAGTGAGATATTAATATTATTATCTGTTAATTATATTATTAATTATGTTACTACTACTGTTATTACTAATTATCATATCTAGAATAATTGATTGTTTATGGTATTAATAATAATATATTGATGGACTCATTAATTTAGTGAATCTAGAAAAGCCGTAGCCTTGCCTTAAGTAAAAGTTACATCTAGAAAAGGTCATATGGTATACTTTAAAGAGACTGGATTGTTTGAGAAAGTTAGGTACGGTATTTCATTTGAATGGAAAGAATGAATATGGAGCGAAGATCTAAATTGACCTTGGGATATTGAAATATTCATGGCAGACGTATGGAACACCCTTGGAATAGAAGAGCGAAGAATATTTCAGTTAGGATAAAGGAAGACGGAAGAAATATCCGGTATAAGATACGAAGGGAACCGAGCCTGGCTTGGCTCGGTGGATAAAGCGACAGCTTTCCATTCGTGGGTCCCCGTGTTCGAGTCCCGCTACAAGAAACAATTTTTCTTTGGATTATTAAAATGTAGAAGAGCTTATTGGACCCCCGTTGGTGAATTCAAATCCGAACAAGGGTGTACAAATGGCTCGCTGTTTAATATAAAAATGTGTACCCCCGCCAACGGATTTCATCGGAGAAAGTAATTGCTCGGGGGGGAAAAGTAATTTCTGGTAAAATTGGAAAATAAAATACTAAAGAACGTCCAATGAAACGATACGCGCCCGTTGAATATCACAAAGGCACATAACAAACGGTGATGACAAATACAAATAATGATTGTACGTCACGATATTCTAGAGTTTGTGTCCGGAGTATTTGCGACTCTCGATGAATTCTTAAATAGATTTTAAAAGGGAATGGGATTTTGCAGAGAAGTTTGTTTCATAGACGGGGAGGATTCAGAATAATTCAAATTCAAAATTATATTATTTCCAGCAACATTTTAAAGAAGGTATACAAAAATCTAACTGGATTGTAAGAAAGACATGGAATGATGCAATATCCAGAGACTTTGAATGAAAGACAAAATTAAAGAATGGTCTTCCTTCATTGTCTCAAAAGAATCCACTTCCTGTTCTAGTGACACATGGAGTAGAAAAAGTCGTTTAAGACTTTCAAATAAAGAGAGACAGTGTAACTAGGAAGAACCACGAAAGCGGCGGCTGCTAACGTAGATCGAGAGTAGGAGGGGGTGGAATACAAAAAACCCCGACGACGGGGATGGAAACACAGAGACTCACCTTCCAGTCGAAAGTTTTTGAGAGAAGTGCAAGGCGTCGGCCATTACCGTGGATCACATACTTCTTCCAGTGCATTCTACTTCTATTTCTTTCCCAGGGAACCCAAGACGCCGTAGCAACCCCTCCGCCACCTGCCCACACACACCCTTCTCCGCGGAAACTTTTCACCGACGTTCCGGGACTTAAAAATCTATCCAACCCCGGAAACTGATTAGGTGAAGAGCTCGGCCCCCTCGGTCCTCATCTGCACGCCCCATCGTCCTTCCTCCTCCAGACCAGCAACCCAGCCGTAATCGAACAGAAAATTTCGAACATCCGATTGCCTTGAAGCTTGGCTAAATCACGAACGAAAAAGCAGACAGACACGAGCAGCAATAACTTGAAAGTAAATTCCCTCATGTCAAAGTCAGATTATTTGAAACTTCAACCATGTAATTGGGGATATAATTCCACCATAGTCAAAGGAGTAGCAAATCATCATAGCCAGGAATCGCAGAGAAGGCCAGCCAAAGTTATCTTTTCAAAAGCTACTGTCGTTAATTCATCTCGGCCCGATGAACTCGTCTGAAAGCAGAAGTTCCGCGACACGACAACCTTTACCAACCCCCGCTTCCAACCCCCGCGGCGTGATTATTAAGACGAAGGGCGAAAGGCGCAGACGAACGCTAAAGAAAATTCCGCGCGCTTTATAGAACTCCGCTGGCGAGTTAACCTCCTCGGAACGATAAGTTCGCAACGGGGGATGAACGGCAAGGACCGGGGGGTGGGTGGTGCAGTCAGCGGGATCCAGTTCCGTTCGCAGTAATAAATGTTATCACCGCGCGGCACGAGGCTGCAGCTGCAGAAGAAACCAGCTGTTTCAGTTCGTGACGATAAATACAGCGATTCCTTTCAGCCCCTGTGGGACAGGGACGAGAGGGGTGCGCGTGGGGGGTTGAATTTATTCCGGGTCGCGGTGGCAGTCGGTGCTCTTAACGAAATAATGCTCTTAGGCCAGCAACAAATTTTCGGGGGCAGCATCCCCGCGCCTGGGGATGATACGTGGCGTCGCAGGGGAGAATGCCGGACGGTCAGGGGAGGAGGTGGTTTGCCGGCGTCTCCGGCAGCTCTCCGGTTACATTTAAAAGTATAATTTTAAAATGGCGTCGCGGAACACACGAAGTGGCTCATAAGCATAATTTATGCGCCCGTTTCCCACCGGGCCCGATCCTCGCCCTTTTTCCACCCCTCGCGGCGTCTTTGTTTCACAGCGCTGCATTTAATAAAGGATATTCGCGAGGGTGACTTCTTGCCGGAACGCGGCGCCGCCGCCCGGCACCCGGCAGTCTCTCACTTTCCGTTTAAATTCGTTAACCTCCACGATTTCTCCGGCCTTTCTTACGAACCGTCCCCTTGCTCGAAGATCGATCTTACCCTCGCCGAGGGGGGCGAATTTCCTGGTCTTTTTTCCGAACGCGGCAAAAGGGAGCGGTAAAAACTGTTGAAGAAGGATATTAGTCCGGAGGAATGAAAATAGGGACGGGAGAAACTCGTAAATTGACGGTCGATTAATTTTTGTCTTCCCTCGCCACCACTGTTGTGATGATTCCGTTGGAAAAAAATTTGAATAACGAGGGCGGAGGAGGTTATGGACGTAAATAATCCCTGGAGGGTGTGGGTGGGGTGCAGGGCTGTCGGTGGTCGGGCAAAATTAAGCGGCGGATTTTCATCCCCCGGAACGCCGGTTCTTTCGCCACCCCCACGCGCTCTCTCGCCACCGCGAAACGGCGGGTCGTTTAATAAGTAGCTAATTGTAAAAACGCGCGCCCTTTGTTACCGCGATGATGAAGGCATTAAAGGCAGCTAGGGATCTCGCGTTCAGACGCAACGGCACGGTGCTGGGTTACTTAATTATTCACGGCCAATTTTCTGTCGCTTCGAGCCGGCTCGTCCCATTGACACGGCAGCGCGGCGAGAAGTTTCCGGAATTAACTGGCAAACTTTCGCAGGGAACTCGCGCTACCGTATCCCTTTTTTCGGGAATTATCCCTTAGCTGGAGATTCTTTGAATTTTTTTCCCGTTAGGATTTTGCAGTTGAATCTTCTGTAAGGCAGCAGCGAGGAATAATAGGTGTATACTTTATAATGTAGTTTTGCGAGTATACTTGGATATAGTTATACTTACTGTGGCTATATTTATATATTTTCTACTTTAGTATTGTGACTATGTTTATAAATGCAAAACGTGGTTAATCTGATACGTTCTTTGTGTTGTTGATGACGCCTGATTAATTATTAGGTACCTAAGACACTTATTACGATCATAAAATTGATTATTTAATACTTGTACGATTTGTTATACATTATTTGCATCCCTCGCGAGGAGAGGTTAAAGTTCAACGAGCCAGATTCGGAATAGTGAAAACCTCTAAGCTCTTTCATAGAGCGGTTGGCCGATGTAGTTGCCAGTGGGACCGTAATTGCAGACTAAATAAAAGTTGTTCCATTGACCAGACTTGAAAATGATCTTACCGCAACCGATCTTATTCGAATTTGCCCAGACTAATTGAGTGTAATGACCCACTTTAGAGAAGTTGTTGGTCCTGTTCAACGACATCATTATGAAGAAAGGAACGCTAGAAAACTGAATTAATGATCATTATGCAACTGAGACGCGTTACTCACGTTAATCTGTTCACTTCGTTCCTGTCAAAGTTCTTCACCTCGTTGTACCACATCATGACGAGATCAGTCGGCTTGCTGTTTTGCTGACCTGTGGTGCTAGTCTGCGCAACATTTTGTCCAACACCATAACGCTCTGCGAACACGACCAAACGGTTACAATTAATTAACAGAATAATGAATAAAGTCCTCGAAAGCTTAAGCTTACAGAAAATGCCTACTCTGAAAAAGAAGCTAAAGAGAATAGACACTAAACAAAATTCCATTCCTTCACTAAATGGTTTCAGTAAATTAAAGGTGAAACTAATCAAATGAAACCTTATTGAAATACACATTCGATTAGTTCGATTGAATTCCGATTATTCTCGAAATTTCGATGAACTTGTTCAAATTCTGGATATTTCACGAATGTATTAAGCTCGACAATAATTAACCACTCACCAACGTCCCTGCATTCGTCGTGACCGAAGCTGCATTGGTTCGCCCACCTCTGCGCCACTTGCTCCAGCTCGCTGTCCCACGACTGAAACGAAACCGTTATTCGAGAATCTCGCGGATATTATGAACTTGGCAGCCATCATTATAGTAGGGTAGAGTTCGTCTCTAATTATCCGTATATTAAGCAAACTGCGCGGCAATGTGTCTATATAAGCTCCTAATGTTCTTGTCTGGCTATACGCGCTCCTATTCCACTTATCTTAATATATTGCTCTAACGTTACGCAGTTACCTACGTACGTACCCACAACTATATAGTAGTTAGTTACCTCTACGCGAGTAAAATTCACTTCGTCGGCCTATGCGCAGATTTGGTCTCGCCGACCTTACTATTTATCCGCATAAAATAACATTCTTTCCGCAACTCTGCCGGCGAGACTCTTTTTCCCGTTATTAATGCTACTTTATTTGTTTTAATGAGTAAACACCTATATACCTCAAGATTTTATCTCGTACTCGGGGAAATGAATAATATTCGTATTTATTCAGATTATTTTGAAACTGTCGAGTATCTGACTCAGTACCATACCAGGAAGTGTTTTAACGAGATAAGCATGCGCGGAACAGATAGTTGTATAAAATGCAGGAAAACGTTTTTCATTCGGGACCTGCATCGAGGCTCGTAGAATTTTTAGTGGATCCAATAAATATTTCTTTTTAACCCTAGTTTCAGGGGATTGGTGTGCGCAAATCTATATTCGTGTGGATATTTTTAACGAAGAAATTTAATAAAGTTTTTTTACCATGGTCTGCATGTTCCTAGCCGCAGGCTGTGGTCCAGGATTTCCTCTCGTTTCCTTACCAGCAGCTACGTATAGTCGTAGAAAATTGTGCAGATTGACGATTCCCTTCCTTTCTGCATCCGTTAAACCGACCACTAACACTTGACCACAGCTTGGTGCTGGAGACGAATTCTGAAACAATACGGTGTAGTTTGAATAATTATTTCATAAGGAACAAATCTAAGAAATTTATATAATAAACTGCAATCGATCCTAGGGAAAGTAGTGTTCCTCCAAGTTCTACTCACTAGAAACTTCTATAACTGTTCGAAAATATTTCTAAAACAGTTTTATTAGATTTATCTGCTAATTGAGTGAAATAAACTTGTTGCGTTTTCATAGAAGAAATTCTATTCTTTCAAGTTTCATTCATTAAACATTGTTATGATCATTTTAAAATATTTCTAAAATATTTCCCTTTAGATATATCTAATGATTTAACAAAATCAACTTAGCAAACTCTCATAGAGAAATAAATATTCTCCTAAATTCTGCTCAGAAATTGTTGAAACTACACTGTCCATCTTTCCGCAGATACATAGTGTTATCAATATAATTAGAAATTACGGATATTTCTTCGTTATTTCTTATTATGTGCATTTTGAACATTTTGACAATCGCAGAACAATTTCCCAGAAAATATTTCTATAATCATTTAACGAACATCTTTCAGCGCCTAGTTCTTTCGTTTTTTAGAGGAATGCTCTTACATTATTCCTTCGCTAATAACTACCGGTAAATTCTGACACATTTAAACAGAAGATTACTCTTTCGATACTAACCGGATACTTGCACAACGTTTGACGGCGGCCCGACCGCGAGCATCTGTTATTACCACAATCGATCGCGATGCTCGGCGGCGCGAAACACGCGACCGCGAGAACCATGCACAGAAACACCTTCATGCTTTCGTTTCTCTGTTCCTCTTCGTATTGCACTGCGCCGACGCTCGACGGCTTGTTCTTATTTGCCGCCTTATCAGCGACTTATCTAATCAACACGGTATCGTGCAGCGAATATAATGAATAGCCGCAACTCCGTTCCGTGTTACCGTGTGGTCGCTCGTGACGTCAGGGTACTAACCTTTGCCTTGTTCTTTTACTGTGCACTTAGGTGTGCACGACGGTAGCTTGTGAGTAGATTATGTTTCATTTGACTGCTCGAATATTATACGCTCGATTTTCTTATGAAAAGAATTTTTCGAATTCCCAGATGAATTTTGAAATAATAAGCTTGTCAGTTTTAAAATAGATTATAGTTCGTCATTTAATAATAGTAATAATTGAGTACATTTGTCGTTTAATTTTTTTAGAAGGGTATGATGGTTAATTGAAATTTTCGAAGCGTTGCGTTCATAATGTTACGAAATGTTTTTGTAACATATAAGTTAGTTATTAAGCATTTAGTAACATGTACCGATAAGATATAGTGAAATTAGTGAAGATTAGGTATTAAATATAGAAACGATAGTATCTAGTTATCTATTCTAGAAATCCGATTATACTTATCTGTCAGGTAATTAAGATATCGATGAGTTCACGTGTTATTGTATAATATTATTTGAATCTGAGTTCGATAAACTGAAGATGTTTTGAAGATTGCCGATTTACCGTGCCGGATCAATCGTTTACAGTTTTCGATTTCATTTCAGACTAATTTTATTCGCCCGTATTTCTCAATGTACGATCATAAACGTTTCAATAAATGAATCATGTCTTAGACCATTATTTATACACTTGCTGACGACTTACTTTTTCTTAGTAAACATGTGTCAAAGTTGTTCGACGTTCATTAGTAATCACTGTCAACTGTCATGGCATCGATAACAACATTTACGTATAAATATATATGTCTCACGTGTTTTCCGGGGAAAGTCAAACAACGGAAAATTCATATATAATGTACACATACACTAATCCACGATGTGGAAGATTCAATTCTCAAGAATTAACCGATAATCGAAAGAAATTAATTGTAAAGAAAGCCTGTATCTCCGCAACCTCTAGAGATATAGTTATTTATAGAGACAATTTATCTATTTCACAGAAACAATCACAAGACTCGCAATTTCTTTTTTACACGACGCACAATAAAATTCTATACTTATAGTACGAACTTTCTGTATTTATATTTCAAAATATTTGACAAAGGTTTCTGCATGTTTTGATTAGATTCTTTCGTGTCGTGCCGGTAGAACTGACTTACATCATTTCGCTTATCGCCGGCGGTTTTACGCGGTTTTTGGATGACAATAAATCATCAAATTTACTAATCTTATCGTCAGTTCCCATGAGTTCTCAATCCTGTCTAATGATATACATATGCAAATAAGTACAAGATTTTTCTGTATTATACGTTCATCTATTTATTTATGTTTTGTTGGATATTTAGTATTTATATTTTAAATTAAATAGCTACGCATAGTCTAGTAACAGTTTCCTTCCAGCAGTTTCAAATTTGAAGTATTCTCAACTAAACGAGAGTACAGCTAAATCGAAAGAGATTGAACGAACGAGAAACTAAACTAAACAGTGTTCAGAAAATAAAAACTTGAGTAGGTCACAAAACGCTCGAAGAATGCGATGCGGTTAAAGTATAGCCTATATTCCGAACGAACACTGTATTATAATACATATATTATAATTAGAATAATTTTTTAATTACATCATAATACATATACTATAATTCGACTAATTTCTTAATTACATCACAATACTTCAACATCCTATTCATTTTCAAACTTTATTATTTCCAATACGAACGTGCGCAAAACATTTCACTTTAACATATCATTCCGACAGGAAGACGTACGAAGTAGGTTCTTCAGATAAGAAGGGTTAAATTTTCATAAACTTCAAAATATCCTTCCTGACATGCCGATTAGCAATTTTACGGAAATTAGTATATTTCCCTCCGCATTGCGGGACCACCGAGAACGAGACACGATTAATAATTCAGCATCGAATGGGGAAACCTTTCACGGTGTTTGATTTGATCCCGGCTACCCGGCCGGAATACGGTTCTGTCAAAAGCTCACGTGTCTGTTATTCCAGCTCGTCAGCTAGGATTTCAGTCGCGTAGTCAAACCGCACGAATTTCTGTCTCTGAATCAGCCGGCCCTTCGCGTTAATCCGGCGGCTCTTGTGGCGGGTGAACGAAAATGACTCGGCGCCGTGACACTTCATATTCCCGGTATCCGGGACGTGAGATTAACGTCAATAAATGCGGAGGAACGCGGGAGATAGAGAACGACGATG